TTTAACTTTGAGTGAAATGTGATGCAGCAAACCATCAGTTATTGAATGTGACTCCACCTCCCTGTAATTCAATCTCTGTAATAAATACATGTGTTCTGTGAAGCTTCTGAGGTTTTATTTTCAAAAGTAGGAATGAAGTTATGTCTAAAGTAATTCCCCAAGCTCTGAAAATCCCACAGTGGATTGTACAGACCATAACTCATGGAGTATAGGACACTTGCAAACCTACCTACACATTGATTAGAGAAGGAGACAGGGGTCACTTGTGCAGTGACTCTGGAGGAGCCACAGTGATCCACAGCTGAGAGGAAATATTCCTTAGACATGATAATTGTTATTCATGAAAATATAATAGCACCACAATAAAAGAAAGCTATTGTTAAAAGAAAGAACTAAGAAGTCCTGTTTGCAGTTTGCTACAAAATATGTAGAATATGCAGCAAACCCTACTGAGTTCTGACCATAATTAATCTTTTTGGTCCATATGCAAAAAACACCATCTGTAACAAACAATTAATAAAGCACACTTCCCTAAATAGATACGCCAGACAAATAAACATTGCAGTGGTGGCACCATGCTGTGGAGATGCTTTTCGTTTGCAAATACAGTTGCAAAAGGCTGCTCAGATTTCACTGGAAGGTGAATGTAGAAAACAAATGGACATCCTTAAAAATCACTTGCGCTACAAAAACCTCCCGGTGGGGAAAAAAAAAAAATATATATATATATATATATATATATATATATATATATATATATATATTAGAGAAAACATATTTTCACATGATAGCAAAAACTAATACTATTTGTCAAGAGATGCAAAGTTTTCATCCAGGCTAAATGAGTTCAACTTTTACATTATATATGTCCACATATTTTCTTTAGATTTGCAAAGCTGCTGGATATGTTTTGCTAAATATTTCAAGCTGTGATTGCAGCAAGGTTTGTCCTCCAAAATATACCTTCTAGTAGGCTGAAAACAAATGCATGTCAAATTTTCAAACTACAAAACATCTTCAACATTGCGCAGAGGTCCGCGAAAGTGCCCCTGGATTGACAGACTGGGGTTGCGGGTCACTTGTATGACAAAGGAGGCCGGAGGATGTGTTCCAATTATAGGGGAATCACACTCCTCAGCCTCCTAGTTAAGGCCTATGCCAGGGTGCTGGAGAGGAGAGTCTGGCTGATGGTAGAACCTCAGCTTCAGGAGGAGCAGTGCAGTTGTTGTCTTGGCCAAATGGAGCCCTGAACCAGCTCTACACCTTGCTTGAGGTTCATGGGAGTTTGCCCAACCAGTTCACATGTGATTTTTGGACCTGGAGAAGGCTTTCGACCAGGATGTTTAAGGTACAGCCCAGACCGGAGGGGTCTGGTTTAGGGACCAGCTGATCTTATCCCTGCTTTTTGCGGATGACATGGTTCTGCAGGCTCCTTCCTGCCGAGACTGTCAGCATGAACTGGGGAAGTTTGCAGCCTAGTGTAAAGCGGTAGGGATGAGAATCAGTTTTCCCAAGTCTGAGACCATGGTTGTAAAAAAAAAAAAGGTGGATGTTCCCCTTCAGGTTGAAGAAGATTCCCTGCCTCAATGGGTGCATTTTAAATATTTTGGGGGTCCTGAGGAAAAGGCAAATCTCTGAAGTTACCAGTCGGTCTACATTCCTAACCTCACCTATGGTCATGAAATTTTGAACATATCCTAAGTAATGTAATCTCAGATACATACAGGTGGCTGAAATGAGCTTTCCCAACAGGATGGCTGGGCTCCCCCTTAAAGATAGGGTGAGGAGCTCAGTCCCTGGGAGAGACTCAGAGTAGAGTCACTTCTCCAAATCGAAAGGACTCAGCTTAGGTGGTTTGAACATCCTTTTAGGAAGCCCCCTGGACGCCTCCTTCAGGAGGTGTTTCAGGCACGTCCCACAGGACGACCCAGGACACGGTGGAAGTACTATGTCTCTGGCCAGGGAGTGCCTCAGGTTTCCCCCAGCAGAGCTGGAAGAGGTGTCTGTGAGTCTCTGCTGAGGCTGCTGCCTCTGCAACTCTGTCCCAGGTGAAGTGGAAGACGACAAGTATGAGTACTTTCAAACTATTTAATAATTATGACTCTCTTTCCTTAACTTTGCAATAATGTATTATTGTATAATAGGAAAAATAGACAAGAGTCTTAAGGTTGTATTGAAATAAATTGCTGAGAATTTTAAAGGATGTAAAGCAATAGCTGGCATTTAATTTGGTTTATAGTGACCTGTAGTCATCAAGAAGCACTTGTCTAGAAAGCATTTCTGAATGATTACAAATTTACTACAAGCAGATAGATGAATAGCTGGTAGATCTTAATGGTTTACTCTGCAAATAATACTAAGCAGGTTTGGTTGGCACAATGAGCAGAACTTTGGTGCATCCAGGTGGAGAAAAGGTGTAACTGCAAGTATATATTCTAGCAGCATTTTTTATTTATTTTTGAAAGAAGTAAAAAAAGACGAGTTGTCTAAAATGTGACATAGATGTTAATGTTCAGGTATGGATATGCATCTTATATAACATTACCTCTAAGAGTATGATCTCTGTCTAACTCAGGACAACCCAAACAGAAAGGAAGCCCCAATGAGCACAAACACCTGCCTGCTCCTGCACTGGGACACACTGTGCTGGATAGTGTGCTTGGGTAGTGGAAAGCTCTGACGCTGTTCATTAATCACCATGTTGAGGTTTTGATGCCACAGCAGGAATAAAAACGCTGCTCTGACTTTAACAGATATACTATACTGCCTTCATCAGCGTTGCACGAGTTCAGACTCGAAGGAAATAATGCTTGCCTTCATGTGCAGGACGTGTCATTTAATGTTGTAGCAAAATTTGCTTTCCATGAGGACCATTAGATGACAATTAATAAAGATGTTATTATTATTTCTTTTGTTAACGGTTTTTTTAGGGTTAATTTTTAACTCAATGATTTAGCTTCCCATAAAAAAAAAAAATTCTGTAGAACTTATACTTGAAAACATCATTTTATGCTTTTGCACCAGCTAGTTTTCACTGTACTGGGTTGGATTAAATGCCCAAAGTCGGTCCCTGAGGGCCACTGTCCTGCAGGTTTTAGAGGTTTCCTTTTTCAGCACAGCTGATTTTCATTGGCATCTGGTTTACAGGCTTTTGCCAAACTGCAATCATCAGAATCAGCTTTGCTAAGGTAGGGAAACCTCAAAAACCAGCAGAACAGTGACCCTTGAGGACCGACTTTGGGCATGCCTGGAACATATTCAGGACTAAAACTGGTATTGGCACATTTTTTCTTGTGGAACTACATGGTTATTACACATCTGTTAGTCAGTCTAAATTGCTTTTATTGAGCTTTGGCACACTGTCATACAGGAAGATAGACCTGCATGTCATCTTAAGTAATCTTTCTAAAAGGAAAAGTTTTTTTACATCAAAGAATTTATAGAGCTGTCCAGTGTTCCTTCAGTTACATTTTATGTATGGTTTTTATCTATGCATGTTAGAAAAACCACTGGAAGTATATTTTCTTGGACATGCTTGACTTTGGAAAAAGTCTTTCTTCCTCAAAGATTGGTAACTTAATCTGATATCAGAGAGCTCTATTTGGGACTACAGAAGCTTCTTCCAAACTTATTTCTCAGTTTCCTTTGGGTATTGTCTGACAAACTAAGAAGACCTGAAGAAGTATCTTAGTACAGGATTGGCACTGCAAGGTACCAGTCGATTAAGATTTTATTCATGATCTCTTAGGGGACTATAAATTCAACATTTTCACCTTTCTTGAGATCATTCAGAGTCAGGATTTTGCATGAGGCTCTCGCTCATACAGTGAATCCATAAACTGTAATAAAGACTCTTGTGACACAAATACACAATCAATGCTCATTGATAAATTCTCACTTATTTGTTTTCTTTAAAACAAAAACGCCTATGATTATGTATAAAAAGGATCATTCTATACTTACATTCATTTTGGCCTCTGGTATATTTAATTAAGGATACGTCATTTTACAAGTTTAAGGTCAAATTCAACAAAAGGTGTAGCAGTGAAGGTCAAACTAGTTGGCTCAGTAGTCCATTCTATCATCAAATTAGACCTACCTAGTGGCTCAATCATAATAAAACAGACTATAGACAGTGAGCGGGGTTTGGTATTCACTCTGCTTTTCCCTATAAAGCACATTCAACATGTTTGAATATAGTTACTCCAGGCAAAATGTAAGACTTCACTCCAACTTTTTTTCATATCCGGTCCATCATCCCTCACAAAATGTGCCATGCATCATTCCACACAGAATGCATTAAGGATCCGTCCATGCATCATCTCTAATTTTAAAATTTACTGGATCCACTCTTCACATGGCCAACTTCCTGTGTAGCGCATTTGGCTTTAAGAATTTGACACTTTAAAAATTAAGCTAAGCTTGATCCGTATTTCTGTCAAACGATGAAACGGGGGTCGTCCATCATGTGACAGTGTAACAGAGACAATCGAAATTACAGCACTGACTACAGTGGTTTCTATTAAAGGTATATAGGAGGATTTTCAAGAATTTTTGAAGACCTATCCTCTCCACTTAAAAAAAAAAAAAGCACATGCATAACCCTGTACCCGCTCCCAAAAGGGAACGCCTATTAAATGCGTGCAAGAGCATGCACAAGCCAATTTCTCCTTGTGCATGCTGTGTTTAAAAACATTGCTGTTTGCATCTCTCATACAAGCTTAAAATATTTGCAAATTTCCACTATGTCAGACTCACCACTAGTTAAAATGGGGACAAGCACATAAGACGGCATAAGGTAAACATATCACCAGAATGATGGACAATTAGGAGAACCAATTATTTTTATGATTCCTGCGAAAAAGAGCATCCTCCACTAAATCTTTGAGTATGAAACAGGATGACCAGATAAAGGCATCTGTTTGGCTGAAGGGTTAGTTTCTCACCCATTTTAGAAGTGGGCTCCAAAACAAAGAAGCACAAAAATACCCCAAAACCTGGGACTTAATGTTTTTAATAAAACAAATACAATGGTTACAAAACATAACCAATAACAAAGGAAAGCAGTGGTTCCAACAGGTCTGTTTACACTGTCTTAATACATGCACTGTTTTACAGAAGATGGCTTACAGAACCTTTACTCCAGTTTAAGAAAGAGTAAAAGTTCTTTCATTCAATTTCAAAGTCACACTAATAAATACAAAATGTTTGATAGAAAATCTCTGCTGAAATAACCTCTCACCATCCCGTTACTCCTAAAAGACCGATTTAAACAGAGTATTTGTTCAGTCTTCATTTAAAACATCTATTTTGTGAAATAATTTTGACTCGGATTGATCTTCTCAAAACTGCAGGGCAAAATTCCAGCAGCACCCTCCTGCTGTACTATGTTCACACCTAGTTCCTTTGCAACTACAGATGCAAGTCCACTACTGGTCCAAAGACGTTTTTAGGTCTCAAGCTTCGTTCAGCTGTCATGGAACGATGCATGTTGCCTTTCGAAGGGTAAGGTATCCTGTGACGACATCAGTAGGGAGGAGACGGATGTAGGAAAACTCCTCAGATGATGTGAAGCGCAGCTTCGTCTGTGGATCTGTGTAGTTTGCCTAGGGAAACACATGAGATTGTGTTCAGATTCTGCTTTTAACAATACCTGAAAAAATTTCATGCTGTCTTTTTATTGATGGATTACTCACTGGTAGACCAGAAATATCAGAGTATTTCTTTGCTGGTTTTAAAGAGGGAGGCACATCAATGTTGTAGTCTGAAATTATAGAAGAAATTACACCACTGATTTGATCTCTTCATACCTAAGGTCATCCACCTGCTTGATCTAGTACGACTGCTTGAATTGATGTAGAATCTGACCAGAACCGCAGACTTACAGTTGGGATCACTGAGCTTCCAGGGTAAAGTCCGCTCCAAAGCCAGAATCTGTTTCAGATTCTTCCAGGTCCTATTCTTTTTACCAGCTGCTGCTCCTCCTATCCCTGAGTGCTGCACAGAAAACAGAAGAGATGAAGAGGAACTGGTCAAGAAACACGATGAGAGGATAAATTTGAATCCAGGTGGCTGCAGGCTCTCACCATAAATGTGTTATCTTTGAAAGGAGGGAGCTTTACAGCAGAATCCGTGGTGGTTGGGGTGCTGTCCACTGATCCCACCATCTTCATCTCAGCCACACTTTCAACTGCAGTTATCTGAAGACACAACATTGAGACGAGAATTAAAAATATGCGTAATTTTCAGCATTTCCGTCTCCTCCGTACTGATGTCGTCACATGGTACCCGACCCTTCGAAAGGCAACATGCATCGATCCATCTCAATTAATTATCTGAGATCATTCAAGGTCCTTTACATTAAAAACAGAAAAGGAAACATTATGGTGACATAAAGGCAATTCAATAATTATAAATTGAAGAGAATAAAAATGAAGACTTAGAAACTTAAATTCAATAATTTTTTATCGTCACACCAAATTTGGACTCAGGTCCCAGTTCAATAACCTTAATATTTAAGAAAAAGAAAGAGAAAAAGATGAAGCTGCATTAAATGTGGTTCGAGTTAAGCCGCCTAACAGCTGCTGGGTAGAAACTGTTTTTTAGTCTGCTGGTTTTGCTCTGGATGCTCCTCAGCCATCCAACTGAGGGGAGAGGCTGCAACAGTCTGTGTGCAGGATGGGTGGATTCCTTTATAATGCTGAGCACCCTTCCTGCATCCTGAGAGGTCTCGGATGGATGAAAGATGCTCCCTGCAGTCCACTGTGTAGCATTAACCAGCCTCTGTAGAACCATCCCCTCACATCCTGGCAAAAAGGTGATGCAGGTGCAGAGAATTATCCCCACTACATGACAACAAAAGGAAAAACTCCTCTGGACTGAGCTCCTGAGGAAAGCTCTTTGCAGCTTCCTGAGAAGGTAGAGGCTGAGCTTTCCTTGGTGAGGGCACTGGATAAATTGACACCTAGAGTAAATCCAGCACCATCTCAATCTGGTTCATATAATATATGGACCTGTGAGGTCTGCAAATTTCACTGTAGGACAGTTCAGGTGTGTTGCCCAACACTCATGTGTCAGCAGAGTAAATAAAAGGGGCTTAGCATTCCGCCAGAGGTCTGTTGGTCCAGGTTCTCAAGTGTGGGAGTCAAACAGCTTCATATCAGGGCTGACTATGATGATCATACTAGGGCTGCAAGTAACTATTATTTTGCAAATCAATTAATCTGTCAGTAATTTTTTGATTAATTGATTAATAATCAGATAGCCAAAGATTCCTTAAACAAAATATTTTACAAAATTAAACAAACTGGATAGAGCATATTGACAGGCAAAACATTTTTTTTTTATCTTATTTAAAAAATGTTCATATATATATATATATATATATATATATATATATATATATATAAATTGATATAATTAAAGCTCGAAATGGGTTTTTCTGACAGCTTTAAGCATACAGTCTCCATACTCCAGTTAACGATTGATCGATGCAAAATTATTAATCAATAATTGATTAATCGCAATTAATCCGAGTGTTTCAGCTCTAGATCATACATATTAATATCAATAGTGATTGATGTATCTCCATGTGAGTAATACCTGTGTCTGTGTGGCTGGGCTGGCTGTCAGCGGAAGTTTCTTCTTTTTGCTGCCGCTAAGGTTGCTGTTCCCTGCGGCCTGCTGAGCGCCGGACACCGCCGGACTGCCTGGACGCTTCTTCCCCCGCAGGGCGGCTGCGCTGGCGGCCGCCGCCTGCGGCCTCACCGTTATAGGGATCTGAGAAGCCATTCTAAATAAACGCGTTGAGATACAATCAAAACCTACAACCACGAACCATTTGTGCTCTGTAGGAACTCAGCATGAGCTCACTGCCTTCAGAAATGTAAACATTATTCGAACCGGATTTGGTATTCTATCACTTCCGGGTAAACGCTTTTCAAAGTAAAGCAGTGTAGTCAGAGAATTTTTTTCATTTATACTTTAATAAGTTTGTAAATGATTGCTGTTGAATATATATATATATTTTTTTTCAAAACGATTAAGTCAATTTCAGAATAAAAAAATTTACAGATTTAATTATATTCATTTCACTAAAAATATATGCAGCCTGTTCCGAAGAAGAAAAAAAATGATCGTAAATTCAGGTTGATGACGTCACAAGAGGAACAAATAGAAGACTAAAAATATTTTTTGTCTTCTAATACTCCAAGCCAATACTATTTTGTTGCTGAAAAGGTAAATGCATCTGAAGTTTGATATTAAGGGAAAAAATAATAGACATATCCAGTATGTTTTACAAGACAGACACACATTTTTCCTCAATCCTGAAAATGAAAATATGTTATTCCCTTTGGAGAATGAAGGTGACTGAGGAATCTGTCAGTCAATATATTTTTCACCGTGAAAGAAAATTTTGCCTCCTTATTATTTCGTTTTAATTTAGATTTTTAGTTCAGTTTAGGTACAGCAAAAATGAAATGAAAACTTTGATCGTGTACTACTGCTGCCACCATGTGTCTCTGGGGAGTATAGCATCCAGAGAAAAATTGAAACCTTTGTATATTAAATGCTATAATAAAGTGAAACTATGCAAGTGTTTTATTTCCTGATTAAATTATAAAGCTTCAGATACTTCAGAATACCTTACAGTAAGCAAACAGATTTAATGAGAATGTTTTAGTTTTTCTTCTCTCTATGGCCTGTTCTTATACAACCCTTTTTCAAGTCAGAGGACTTGACCAAAGAACTTTATATTACATTAAGTCATTCAACCATTAAAACACACCTAAACACTGATGGCGGTAAGCTACATTTAATAGGCTAATTTGAAGACTTTGCTCCCTCATTTTTATCAACACCTGGACTTTGCAACTGGGGGTGATAACACTTTAGACCTGGTTTACTCTAATATCAAAGATACATTCAGAGCAGCCTGGCGCCCCCATCTCGGGTCATCAGATCACCTGTCAGTCATGCTTATCCCTGCATATAAGCCACAGCTGCTCAGGGCTAAACCAACAATTAAAGGGGTCCGAGTGTGGTCTGAGGGCGCCGTGGAGATACTCCAAGACTTTTTTGAATGCTCTGACTGGAACTTCTTCAAGACTGCAGCTACGTATGACAACATATTAAATATAAAGGAATATGCCATGACTGTGTCAGACTACATCAACAAATGCAGTGAGGACGTCAGCATCAAAAAGAATATCACCACCTGGGCCAACCAGTGACCCTGGATGCAGCATCATCCCACAGCATCTGATAGGCAAACTGGATCAGCTGGGCTTCAATAAATCCCTCTGCAATTGACAGCTAGACTTCCTCATTGACAGACCTCAGTCACTCGGGTCGGAGAGAATACGTCTGATGTCATCATCCTAAACAGGCTCCTCTCAGGGCTGCGTCCTAAACCTTCTGATGTTCCCTCTGATGACATATGACTGCGTCCCCAGGTTCCCCACCAATCAAATCAGGAAGTTTGCAGACGACACCAAGGTGGTGGGCCTCATCAGAGACGACAATGACCAGGACTACAGAGAGGAGGTGGAGCAGCTGGTGGACTTCAGGAAGAACCGGCCTAACCCCGCTCCACTGCTCATCAACAGCTCAGCTGTAGCACTGGGGCACATCACAGACAAACTCACCTGGACTGTAAACACAACCTCCCTGGTCAAAAGGGCACAGAAGCGCATGTACTTCCTGTGGAGGATTAGGAGAGCCCACCTGCCCCTGCACATCCTCACAACCTTTAACAGAAGCACCATAGAGAGCGTTCTGACCAGCTGTCTCTCTGTGTGGTGTGGAGGCTGCAGCGCCTCAGACTGGAAGAAGATGAGGAGAGCAGTGAGAACTGCAGAGAAGATCATCGGGGCTCCTCTTCCCTCAATTAAAGACTTTTCATCTAAACCCTGCATATGCCGAGCCCATAACATTATAAATGATCCCTGAGACTCCCAACATGGACTGTTCTCCCTGCTGCCTTCTGGGAAGAGGCTTTGAAGCATCCAATTCTGGTCCAGCAGATTCCAGCACAGTTTCTTCCCCACTGCCATTAGAATGTTGAATAAAATTAGTTTTTAAAAAAAGCGCTGAATGTTGGAAACTAAATCATATACCAGTATTATGTTTACATTTGATCACCATGTTTATGTTTTATCACTGCTGCACTTTAAAATGGAAATGTCTTGAGAGCTGTACTGAACAAAATTTATTTTTTTTATACACTGTGAGTGTACAAAATGACAATAAAGACTAAGTCTACATCGTACACACAAAAAAAATGTCTCTAAGGAAACAAATTACAAAATAAAACAAGGACACAACACTACTTACAGAACGTTGGTTAAACTCTTATATAGCTGTTGTTGTGGGAAAATTTATATCTTTCTCTCATTATATATTAATATTCATATTTACTCACTATAAAAGTTTTCNAGGGCTAAACCAACAATTAAAGGGGTCCGAGTGTGGTCTGAGGGCGCCGTGGAGATACTCCAAGACTTTTTTGAATGCTCTGACTGGAACTTCTTCAAGACTGCAGCAACGTATGACAACATATTAAATATAAAGGAATATGCAATGACTGTGTCAGACTAAAAAATGTCTCTAAGGAAGCAAATTACAAAATAAAACAAGGAAAACAACCCTACTTACAGAACTTTGGTTAAACTCTTATATAGCTGTTTAAATTGATGAAAATATTTGCTGATTTAAAACTTTTAGATTCTTTTAATACCACATTAAACCAAAACCAAATTTTCCTCGCTTTAGGTTTCTGAAAAATATAAATCTGTGAATTTGTCCACTTAAAAAAAGGGTTAGAAATACAGAATTTGTTGCAGATTTGTTAGAAAAAGAACTAATGAAAAATAAAATGTTCATTTATGTCTTATCTTACAACGTTACCATCAGACAGCTTAAGATGGCAAACTGTCCATCTCTACAGATTACATGCATACCTGTCCCTTTGTAATAGACATTGAATATCTTTGAAGATGCCTATTTAAGTACCTGTGCTTGCTAATTAAATTTATTTTTTATATCACTTTAAAAAGCAGTTAGTGATTAATTATTTTTACTATAGCATTGGTATTTGGAAGTTTGCTGAACCATTAGTTAATCTTTTGCAGAAATAATGTTGTATGAAATGCAAATGTCCTAATCAAATATATCACTCTGACACACGAAGGAGCCTCGTATGTCATGCATCCTTGGTGAAAAAAGAGATTGTTAAAAAGAACATGTAAATAGATATTCTGTCTTTGCAAGATTAGTGTGAGCACATTAAAAGAGATAATCACTCATGTGTTAGGATGAAGCTGAGATTATAGGAACAATAATCACACCAAGGTCAAAACGTTCCTGTTAAGAGTTTAGTTCTGAAAAAATATTTTATCTACACAATGACCTTTATCAAAAAACTTTTAGATTGTGACTGCATTAATCAGTGACCCAGGGTTATTTACATGTTAACCATGTCATGGTATCTGTCTGGGGGGAAAGAAGCAAAGTTTTCTCAGGACGGGAGTTTCCAGTTCTCAGAGTAGCAATTCATGCCCTGCAGGCTTATGTAGATGTAATCATTTCCATCAAAGCAAATTCAAATGATGGAATTACATTCTTTGCATGCCTAAGATCAAACTATTGTTACATTCAGCTTTGGTTAACTTAGGAGCAAACTAATATATGCAGGATACCTGCTTTCAGGAGATAGTTCTGGACCACTCTGTTACAGAATTAGGAAGAATGTTTAGATCAGCTACTAAATCTCCGAATCAGGAGGAGCACTGAGGGTTCCGGTTAAAGAAGAGTAGACCAGTTTTTTAAACCGGTTTTTGGTTCTTGTAGTGTGGCACACAAATTTCTTGGATCTGGAAAGAGGTTACAACCGACTGCCTTGAGGCATTTATTATGTGGTGGACACTGTGCTGAGGATGCTTTTGAGATTTAAATTCAACACAGTGCTTTTGTGGAATACCCAGACCGAAAGCTGTGTCCACATTCCCAGCAGAATATCAAACCCATTCCTGGAGTAGGTTGACTCCACTCCATGCTGTTTATGGTGTTAATTGAATTGCTTTCAAGGCATTGAGAAGGCTGTGTCTTGTTTGGGAACCAAAGGCTTTCATTTTTGTTTTCTCAAAATGATCCTGCTCTGTCATTATTGTCAAGTAATGACTTTCAGATTTCACTATACTGTAGTAATTCACGGCCAAGTGTAATGCAGGGAGTAAATGAATGGGCTCCAATAAGTTTGTTACAATGGTTCTCAACCAGAAAATTATGACTTCTTTCCCCAGTTTGAGAGTCTGTCTGTTATGATCTTAATTTTTGGACCTTTTTGTTTCTGTTAAGTTTTTACTTTTTGGGTTAGAAAATATTTTTTGTTTTGTTATGTGTTGTTCTCTAGATTTACATCATTTTTGTATTTTTAGTATTGCTGCCCCCAGTGTCCTTTCCTTTCCACCTAGCTCTTTCTAGATAATTCTGTAAAAAAAAAAAAACCTGCTCCATATGAGCCAATCATTCCTTCCATTGTTCTGTCTCCCTTATATACGTACGCCTCCTGTTCAGTTACTCATTGCTGGATCCTTGTCATTGTTTTGGTTTATTCCTCCCTCGTGTCTGCTAGTGTTTTGGTTCTTGAGTTTCCTTGTCCATCAGTTCTAGACTTAGAATTTTGCATCTTACTTTTCCATTAAAATGTGCAAGCAATCTTCCCTGCCTCCTTCTGCCTTTGGGTCCACAACCATATCCACTGTCTTTTCCTCAGGCGAACAAATTCAGGTCTCTTTGTCTTTGGTACATAGCAAAGTATTATAGATAAATTGGGTCCTGATGTTCAGTAACAAAATCAATAAAAGCAAAATATTTCTTCATCAGAACCCTCTCCCCATAATA